TTTGGTAAAGACCTTCTATTTGAAAAACATAAACTCCTAGAAAACGTCCATGAAGTAACAACAAAGATTTTCAAGCTTGTTTATCGGCACAATCAATTTGTTTTCCCATCAGGTCTGTTTTACCATGTGTAGGGACATCCAAATGTGTAAGGCTATTGGAAACCAAAAAAATAAAGGAATGGGATAGCTATAATTGGATAAATTCGGCATATGAAAACACCAAAATCAATGATTTTTTTTCAGTGGCTGTGTGACCTTGTGTCTGACACATTCATATGCAAATGACTAATCTGTGAAACAAACAGGGGCGGAGACAAACCACTCAAATGTTTGGAAACACTCATTGTGTGTCAGATAGCTACTGATAACACATCCTAACATTGCTTTGTCTTGAGTTTATCTTTGAAACTTATAGGCACACAGATTAAACCTGTGTTATTGATTTTGGAAAACACTACTGAGGCTGCCTTGCTTCCCTTCAGAAAATCTACATTTTAACCAACTTACATGACATTCTATGTTATGTTGACTTTATCACATGAAAGTTTATAGTGCATTTCATCAATTAATAAATAAATGTGAAAATCGTAATTTTCAACACAAATAATAGTCTCGCTACCTTAAAGTGCCTGTGAAATGGCTGCTATTTTCATGCCTAAAATTATCCATTGATACATAAATATTATTAATTTTTATGTTTCTAAGCATAAATAATTTTTTTAAGTGAAAAAATGTGTTTTTAACTCAGTCTACAAAAACTTTATTTTTGTGTATTTTAAAACGAGGCTCCTCATTAGCTTCTCATTTGCATACAGAAATTCCCCTTGTGACGTCAGAAGGGGAAGTCGCTGGGCAGCTTGCATTGCCGATACGTGTAAATAAGGCAAATTTCTTGTGCTGTTTTCTCGTCTTTGACTAAATTGCCACTTATGTACTTGTTCGTCGAGGAAGAATGGACCATAATGAACATATAGTATCAAGTTTGTTGCATGGGGTTGAGTCAGATGCGAAATATGTCCGGTCTGGTGTTGCTAGTCACCGTGGTCGTCACCAGAGCACGTTTGTAGACTGTCGCTGGACTCCGGCATTGGACAAAATTGAATTTGACGGCTGAATCGTCTTGTTATTTAGCAGGTTACTAGACACTATTGATTTATAAAATAGAGAAATAATTTTAAAAAAAACGACAAAACACAGTTACTGAATAAATGACTGCCGCGTTGTAATGGGTGAACGCGTCGGGTCATGAGGGGGACAAGTGCGTGAATGGCGGCGTTTAATTGGATAAAAAAAATTATTGAGAGCGACTCACATACTGACAAATTTAGAGCGGATTTAGCGTGATTTTCATGATTATGACATCATATTAAAAAA